TTTTTTTTTTTTTTGTACTCAGAATTTTTTTTTTTTTTTTTTTTTGTACTCAGAATTCTGTACTCAGTAAAGAAATACAATAAACAGACCATTTTGGAAAAGTTAATAATCCTTCAATTAATATTTTTAAACAGATGAATGTTCCATAAAAACATATTAAGAAGGATTCTTAAGTAGTATTTGTTTGAGGTGCTAGGGTATTTCAATCCACTGAAAGTAGAATCACAGCACAATCTTGATATACTTTACCTTCACAAGTTCTTTAAATACAGCATGCTGAATCATTTTTCTTTTGTTAAGACCAGATGCCATCTCTTCAAGATCAATAGCAGACCTTCATGATGGTGTACAGGGTAGGAAAGAGAAGAGTCTGTTAAGACACTCTAAAAAACAAAGCTTCTTCCCCAGAATATTCAATAATCCGTATTAACACAGATATATGATGTATAATATATATAATTAATAAAAGTATATTATATATAATATAATTAATGTGCATATAATTACTACAGATTCATAAGTCTATTCCATGAAGAATTTTACCATGAAATATTAGACATAAGACTTTGATTAGTTTTTCAAGGCTTTTACTTAAAAGCATAAATATTGATTTGTCTTCATATCACTGCAAAGTACTAATATTATTTGTTTTGTTACAGCTTATATATTTTACACATCTTTACAAGTAACAGAAAACAAAACTACTTTCTCTAATTGTAAATGCTTAAATGCTAGAAGTTCTACATTTATTCCCAGTCTAACAATATAAAAAGGAGAGATGTCTTAAGCATGATTAGGGCTGGGATTCGAGCAGTTAATTAAAGTGACTGTGTTGCCCTGTGTGTCCTGTCCAGTCATTGCCTCTCCCAATGAACATAATAACTAAGACCACACACGTTACTCCTTCATTCAAATATGGACAAAGAAACCAAAAGGGGAACAAAAGAGAATACAATTCTCCAATAATGCGGGAGGCTGATTAATGTCATCTTAGGCCTGAAGAGGATAAAATGGCACTACTTTTCTATGAAGAATCTAAATTGTTAAAAGATTTTTCTATTAAAAATACTACACAGTACATAATTGAATCCATCCAAATAAAAGAGTAGTAAAATAGAAAAAAATCCATAATTAAATGAGAGCTAATTCAAGCAACAGCTGTTATTTTGAACCATCATTATGGAAACATACTATTCATGCAGTCTTCCAACATATGAGTTCTACACTTTCCAGTACTGAACAGCAGAAATATTTCTTGATATAGCAAACTTTTCTAGTTAGCTCCAGATCCCAGTAAACTAAACTTAGTTTTGACTGCTTTTTGACCTGATTAATTTAACTTACTTAACATTTTCTCTTAGTTGCTTCACTAGTTTAATATTAACATCTGCTTCCAATAATGCTGTACATACTTCTTTTAGCATAGCATTTAATACCTGAAAATAAATAAATAACAAAAATTTAAAGCACCCAGTGTATTATATTTCATTTACATTAAAACAATGATTGATCAGTTATCATATATTACCATAGCTTAATAAAGATAAAACAATATCACTCTATAGGGAAAAAAAGTTTTTCAGTTATCTTTTGGAGACATAAGCTTATTGATGCTAAATTTTGTCAAATAAGATATCCCATTTAGTTTTATATAACCAAATATTAATTACCACAATTTAATTCCTATATGAACATAATAGTAATAAAAACAATATCCAAGCCAAAGAAAGTTACTACGCAAATAGATGTTGCCACTGATGTTTTTTCTACGTCACTGACAAGCTCGCATTGCTGATACATAGTGGTATATATTCAAAATATTTTTTTTTCTTAACTGGGCTACCAAGGAGAAAAATGTGACAGAAGAATATTACCCAGTCTTACCATTTCCACTCAGAGCAGAGGAATAAAGTTGGAAAGGAAACTATCCCCCACTAATAACTCACTATCATCACGTGTTTGTTGAGTTGCAAGACACTGTGGTTAAAAGGCCATAAACTGTAAGAAAGTCTTAAGAAAAGATTGGGTTTTAGCTGCTCATGTACATAAGTGCTTACACACTAGAATGTAAGCTCCACAAGGGAAGGAATTTTAGTCTATTTTGTTCACTGCTATATCCCTGATGCCAGCAAAAATGTAGGCCCTCAAATACTTCTTGAATGAATTCTTTCCTTCAACTCACTTCATACACTCTACAGAGGTTTATCAGATTTCTCTATCCCTCATTAAAGAGGGTCTGATAAAACTGGAACTGATCTTTCAGTAAGAAGGATTTCTCCTTGTTAATGTGCTAGCAGCACTGTACCAAGAAGAGAGCAGTTGCTGATTCAAGCAACAGCTGTTATTCTACTTCCCATCAAGCACTTCTACCCTGGTTTCCTTTTTCTCTACCATAAACACAAAGAGCATAAGGGCTGTACAACAGGGGAAACTGTTTGGAAAGCTGCTGTTTTATCTATTTTGAATTACAAGAATAAACAATGGTTTAAATTATGATTTATTATTTAATAAGAATTAATGGAAAAAGTTCTGGATGAGGTATCAGGAAAAAAAAATTCTAATTCTTATTCTTCCAATGAACAAACATGTGAACCTGACTTTCTGTTTCTGTTAAATGAGAGGCTGGACTAGGTGATCTCTAAGATGGCCTCAAAATTATTTAATTCTACTAACTTATTAAAGTGTTGCTATTAAATTCAATATTAGAATTTTTTTTCAAATCTCCAACTTACAAGTCCTTTTACTCTATTAGCTCATTTGATCCTTAAAACCATTTTGTAAGGCAAATGCCATTTTCCCATTTCTTACATTGAGAAATCTGAGGTTGACATGCCCAAATTTATATTGCACAGCTACTAAATGGCTAAAATAAAACTCTAACCAAGGTCTTCTAACAACTAATTCAGCAATTTTTCCATCATTACTATAAAATATAAAGTGTACTTGTGGATATAATCATCTTTTTTCAATTAACAAGGCACTGAGGTACAATCTGTGGGGAAAAAATGAGAGAAAGAAATATCTTAAACTTAAAATAATAAAGCTGGAAAGAAGAGTATTTCAGATATGATATAAGAAGTCAACTTACAAAATCTCCAAAAAAACTGAATAAGGATTTCAGAGAAAATGAATCAAAGCAGCCAAGATGAAAAGGCCAGCCTTTGATAAGAAGAATGCTAAATAAAAGTCAAAGAGAGGGGCCGGCCCGGTGGCGCACTTGGTAGAGTGAGGCGCTTGGGAGCGCGGCGGCACTCCTGCCGAGGGTTCGGATCCCATATTGAGACCGGTCCGCTCACTGGTTGAGCGCGGTGCGGGCGTGACACCGAGGGTTGCGATCCCGTTGCCGGTCACGAAAAAAGACAAAAAGGAAAAAAAAAAAAAAAAGTCAAAGAGAAAAAAAAAGTCAGATAAGTACATGTTCAGCCAAGAAGCAGCAGGATAATGAAATTTTAGGTCTATGTCAGGAGAGAAAGCAAAGTACATTTCCAGATTTAAGTCATTTTCAAAAGATAAAATGTATGGAATTTTTACATGTAAGTTAAGGTCATTTTTGGTTTTGGGGTTTTTTGGAAATTCTTTATAGAAAGTTGAAATAATAGTAAGGTTGTTGATTTCTCCATAAAAAACACTTACTATACTATATCTGGTTTTAGATTTTTATATACTGGTATTAAGCCTACATCAAAATAAATATAAACATAGAGATTCCTAATAATTCACCTCCTCAATGCTAGTGGTGACATACAATCATATATATTTCACATGACAGTTTACATACCTCTTCATTGATAATGGTGGCATTGCTCAATGAGCGTAATGCTGATGTTATTTTTCTTCCAAGGTCTGCTAGAACCATCTTGAATGCTTTAAGATATGCTTAAAGAAAGAAGAAACTCTAAAAAGGAAAAAGAAATAATTGAAAACCATCAATTTCATTTCCCATGATTGAAGACTTCTAAAGTACAGTATTTAAATTTAAATTAAAGTAGTGTTTAGATACTGTAATTTCAGCTTGTATAGCCTTAACCTGAAGCTTCAATACAGTCATGTCCAAAAGATAAAACTGCCACTTGGTTACGATGCCTTATGTTTGAATACCTAATTAAAATTTTATACACGAATCAGCAAATTTAACATGTTGAATAATCTGAGGAAATAATGGCACAATCTCAAATTAAATATGTTCTCTTTTTGGCACAATACTTGTGGAATGTGAATAACCGAACGATGTATCATGTGCATTTTTAAATAAAAAACAAAGAGGAAAAAAAGGTAAAATCTTTAGGAATATTGCCTAATTCCCCACATTAAAGGACTTTGCAAACTATTTTGATTCTTGCTAAGCCAAAAAAAAATGTTTTAATTAATAAATCACTTAACTTTTCTAGCACAAAGAAAAGCAACTATTGAGCCACTGACTATATGACAGGCACTGTGCTAAGTGATTTCACATAATTTATTTCATTTTATTCTTCTAAGCACCCAGGAAAGAGGTATATTATCACTCTTCTTATTTTAAGATTCTCCAACCCTAAAATAAGATAACCTCAAAAACCCTTTCCAGCTCTAAAATGTGATGGTTTTATAAAGCATATAGATGTACCTACTACATGTAAAAAAAAAAAAAAAAAAAAAGCAAGTATGATTTGTAGTCCCAGCCCTCAATATGCTTATCTACTAGCTGGTAAGACAAGGCACAAAAATCAACAGCAAAATAAAGTAAATAGTAAGAGAGAATTCTTCCTGCCTGACTGCCTACGAACTGGGCCATAGACTTTTTCCTGCCTTCAAACTGAAACACTGGTTCTTCTTTGGTTGCAAGCTTGCTGGCCTTCATACTAGAACTATACCACTGGCCCAAGGGCTTTGGGATTCAAACTGCTATTACACCATTGACTCTCCTGGGTCTCCAGCTTGCCAACTTATTCTGCAAATATTGGGATTTGTCAGCCTCCATAATTGCCTGAGCCAATTCCTTATAATAAATATCTATTTTTCTCTCTCTCTTTCTCTATCTACACACATACATACACACACACACACCCTATTGGTTCTGTTTCTCTGGAGAACACTAACTAATACTAGTGAACTAATAGTTCAATACTAGCAATAAAAGTTTACGATTAACAGTCAGTGATTATTTCTGTAAAAATCCAAAGGAAGAAAAAACATTTTAGGCTAAGCTAGATAAAATAGGCTTTATTGGAAAGGCTGAATATAAATATGGTCCTGAAATATGTGTAGAATTTGGATAAGTGGAGAAGAGGATGAAAGAGAATTTGAGGAAGATGAAATGGAACAACCAGAAATGGAGACATGGTAAAGCACAGGAAATGCTTATGCCTTACATAAGCATTACACTTACAGATTACTGACTTAGGTTGAATGTTTGTCTCCTCCAAAGCTCACATGGTAGATTGATTCCCAATGTAGTAGTGTTGAAAGGTGGAGCCTTTAATAGGTTAACGGATCATGAGGACTGTACTCTCATGAATGGATTAATCCATTCGTGGAGTAATGGGTTAATGGATTAATGGGTTATCACGGGTGTGAACTGGTGGCTTTACAAGGAAAGCAAGTGAGCATATTAACAAGTACTCTCAGCTGACTGGTTCGCTCAGTTGGCTAGAGTGAAGCCTTACAACACCAAGGTCATGGGTTCAGATCCCCGTACCAGCCAGCCGCAAAAAAAAAAAAAAAAATCGAGCGCTCTCACCCAGCCCTCATGTGATACCTTGCATTGTTATGGGACTCCGTAGCATCTCCGAGAAGGCACTCACCAAATCTGTGCCCTGGACCATGTACTTCCTGGCCGCCAAAATTGTAAGAAACAAATTTCATTTCTTTATAAATTATCTAGTTCCAGGTATTCTAAGCAACAGAAAACTATCTAATACAATTACTGGGCATTATTTGGGGGTGCTATGGTTTGAATGTATCCACCAAGTTCATGTGTTGGAAAATTAACACCCAATACAACAGTGTGAAGAGGTGGGATCTTTAAGTGGCTCTGCCCTCATGAATGGACTAATGCCATTATCATGGGAGGGGGTTCCTGATAAAAGGATGAGTCAGCCCCCTTTTCTCTCTTTCTCCCCATATGCTCTCTTGCCCTTTCATTTTCTGCCATGGAGTGACATAGCAAGAAGGCCCTCACCAGATGCAGGTCCCTTGATCTTGGACTTCCCAGCCTCCAGAACTATAAGAAATAAATCTCTGTTCTTTTTAATTTTTTCTTTTTTGGGGGGTGGCTGACCAGTAAGGAGATCCAAACCTGTGACCTTGGTGTATCAGCACCATGCTCTCGCTAACCAAGTGAGTTAACCAGCCAGCCGGGGTTCTTTATAAATTACCCAGTCTCAAGTATTCTGTTATAGCAGCACAAAACACTCAGGCAAGGGAACGGTGAACAAAATATTCTGGTTGAGACAGAGGCTATATAGTTAGAAATAATACAGGTTATAACGGGCTCTGAAAACCAAGTTTAAGAAATATCAATTGTTCAATATAAACAATATCGGCAGAAAAGTTAATTGTTCAAAACAATTGTTTTGGTAACCCTTCCAAGCTAATCTAGACTAATTTAGTCAACTAAGATTATCTAGATTAGATTCCATCTACAGAGTACAAAGGAAATTTTTTTTTTTCTTTTTGTCTTTTTTCGTGTCCGGCAACGGATTGCAACCCTCAGTGTCGCGCCCGTACCGGACCGGGACCGGCAACGGGATCGCAACCCTCGGTGCTGCGCCCACACCTCGCTCAGCCAGTGAGCGGGAACCGGTCTGTATGTGGGATCCGAACCCTCGGCGGGAGCACCGCCGCGCTCCCAAGCAGCGCACTGTAGCAGTGCGCCACCGGGCCGGCCAAAGGAAATTTAAAAACAAGAGAAACAGGAAGACAAAATATCTGACTTATTCCCCATAGGGAGAGTAGAGAGGTGAGGGGAGTAGAAAGAGGCAGGAAGGAAAAATGCACTCTAGCACCTATCACTGGCAAAGAGAGATACCAGGCTGAGCTATAAATTAAACACTACACTTACTCTCACACTCAAGTTAAATTTGTCATTTAAAACTTAAAGTTACTACCAACACTTGATAAAACTGAAAAATATTTGCTTACCGTTTTGTAAAATTACATGGTTACCTGAAAGAGCAACTACTTCATGGACAAGATGCAGGACTTTTTATTTCTTATCCCATACCCATTATACTCAATAATTATTAATCTTTAGGTAAATTTCTTCACATAAGAAAAAAGATTCAGATGTTTCAGTTCACCTCCTTTCCCACTGTGTTACCAAGGGTAATATAATCCTATTTATGACACCACAACTAACTTTTTTAGAGATCATGTCATAAACAGGTCATCCTTCATTATAAAAAGCTATACTAGGTAATTCTTAAAAATAGATCTAACTTCCCATGTTAAATGGCTCTTTTAAATTAAAAAAATTTCTGTGAAGTTTTCCAACACACTTTTCCTCATGTAAGTACTTATTAGCAGCATATTTTTAGATATTTTTGCCTTATAAAAATCTGCACTTCAGTAGAGGAGGAGTAAGAACATTCAATGATATCTTCTACTTATAGTATTTTCCTCTGCAATTTACAAAGATGTGTTTCTGAAAACTCTAGCATTAGTGTTCTGCTTAAAATCTCAATGACTTCCCATTGCATGCAGAGGAAAAGTCCTCAGAATGGACTGTAAGGCACCCCCAAACACACACACACACACACACACACACACACACACACTCTCTCTCTCTCTCTCTCTCTCTCTCTCTCTCTCTCTCTCTCTCTCTCTCTGTTTTAATCATACTGATCTCCTTGCTGCTGCTGCTGCTGCTGCTGCTGTTGCTGCACATTTCCACCTCAGGGCCTTAGTGCTAGCTGTCATGCTCTTTCCCTGGCAGACAACATAGCTCCATTCCTCATCTCCTTCAGATCACTGTCCAGATGCCATTTCTCAATGAGGTCTTCCCTAATCCCGTATTTGAAACTGCAACCAGCCCTCCAACCCTGCCTCTTACCTTTATTTTATTTTTCCCCATTGTTCTGTTATCAACTTGATATATGATTTACTTATATTATGTGTGGTCTATAATCCCCTTACTGAAATCTAAGTTGCATGAGGGCAGGGATTTTTTGCCTATTTTGCTCTCTCCAGTGAGCTAACTACTTTACCTATTCTCAGTCTTATATAGTAAGCCCTTAATAAAAATGAACTTCATGAATAAATGAAATGATGTATTTAAGACCTTATGGAAAATGCAATGCTAAGTGCTGTGAAGTGAATATCCCCCCAAACTCACTGAAGCTGAAATTGTGTCCCCCAATGTTCCAGGTATTAGAAACTTGGCCCCAATGTGACAGTGTTAAGAGGGTGGGAAATCCTATTATGGTAATTGAAAGGTGGGGCCTGGAAGAGGTGCTTAGATTGTGAGGATCATGCAACAGTAAGTGGATTAATAAATTGATGGAATAATGATGGTCATGGGTGTGGCTCTGAGGGCTTTAATAGGAGAACTCCTGAGGAGGTTAGTCTCTCTCTCTCTCTCTGCTCCACCATTCTTGCCATGTGACACCCTGTATTATTGTAGAGTCACCTCGCCAGATGTGGTCCCTGGACTCTGACTTCCCAGCCTCTGAAACTGCAAGCAATAAATTTCATTTTCTTACAAATTACCCAGTAACGAGCATTTTGTTATAAGCAACAGAAACAGGCTAATACACTAGGGAACCAAAGTTATAAGGGGCATTACAAATACCTCCTAAAGGCCATTAAAATAAACCAATGAAGACAGTATGACAAATCAAAAGAAAAATCAATGACCTAGGTAATTGATATCGCACATTTAATATTAATTTGCCATTACTTACTGTAACTTTTCAAAAT